AGATCTTTGTAGAAATCCTCGAGAATCAGAGAATCTTTGTTGAAATTCAAGAAAAGTTTTTGGGAAGAAAACCAAAGTTTAGGAAGAAAAAAGGAAAAGAAGAAGGCAAAGAAAAGGAAAAGAGAAGACCTCTATACTCAGAACATAGAAAAAAATAAATCTGGGTGGACTATACAAGACTACAGAATAAAAAGACCAAAAGAAGGCCCAAGATTTTTTGAAGAAAAGAAAGCTTACAGAAGAGTATCAGCAAAGAAAGATCGCAAGAAAAGCTACCAAGAAACAGGAAAAAACCACGAAGCTATGAAACATAAGGCTCTAAGAAATATGTTTTTAATCAGAAAGGACAGGTTTAATTGGAAGAAGAGAAAAAAGAAACGCAAATATAAACAAGAGATTTCTGGAAATAACCCCTTATTGAGAAAGAAGATAGAATTGTTTATTAATAGAAAATTAGGTTTAGTTTATGATAAAATGAAGGATAGGTTAGAAGGGAAAACTTGCCAATTTAGTTTAGTTAAAAATCTCTTTGAATTGAAACCATCTTGCTATGGTTTCACCGGCTAGCTTGGTGCAGCCCTCCGGTACGGGCAATAGCCTTAACCAGTGAGGCAGACCGTATTTGGGCGCCTATAGAGGAAACCAAGTGATGTTGGATCTATAACTTAGATAGTATATAGTGTAACTTTATATTAGCTTTGATCTAATAAAGATACCAGCGAGGCTGCCAATGTATATAAAAAAAAAAAAAAAAATTCATATTTGCAACAGCAAAAATACTAAGGAAGCTCAACTTAGTTTATCTTCACCAACTAGTCAATAAAAAAGGTAACCAAATGATTATATGGCAACAGCTAAAATTATTAAGAGAAGGCTCTTGTAAAGAAAGGCAATCCAAATAGTTTGGAAAGCTAGAAGAAAAAATAATAGCTAACTGCAAAAATAGAGAGTTACATGAAGTTTTTAAAATACTGAGTACAAACAGATAAGCCTTGAAAGTATCTCTAGATAGCATAACAAATAACAATAGAAGAAAAGATTGGGTCCTTTCTAACTGGTCAAAAAACACAGATACACCAAAAACAACTATTAAAAGAGTGTTATCAAAATCAGCAGACCAAGTCTTAACAGAACATTGGAATTGCATCGACCAACTAGAAGAACCAGTAATTATTCTAGAAAGATGTGAAGGTTGTGATATAAATGATAGTAAAGACAAAGAAAATTGTAAAAGTTGGAAAGAAAAAAATAAAATTCAAGGCAGCTTAACAAAGTTTATAAGGAAAAGAGAGAAAAGATTGTTGCTATTAAAAGAAAGTATGATAGAGACTAATAAGTTGGATGTGAAGCTTAGAAGTATAAATAAAGAAAGTTCAATGCAGCTAAAAGAGGTAGAAGACCTGAATATAGAAATAATTAGAAACCAAATTTTTAACAAGAAGCTAGAAGAAGATCTAATTAAAAGAATCAAGAAAAATCAAACAGCAATGTGTAACAAATTAGTTTATTATACAGATGGTTCTCTGATGTAGGTAAAAAAGAAAACAGAAAAACTTTGCCAGATGGGTACAGGATGGATGCAACTAGACTGCATAGAAAATACTGTAGTAGATGAAGGCTACTTACAGATTCACGATTGGCCATCATCAACCAAACCAGAGCTCTTAGCAATATGGATAGTCCTATTGCTTGTTCCAAGAAAAAAGAAAATCAAAATTCATACAGATAGTGCAGTATCAATAGCAAGTCTAGATCCTAAATAACAAAAACTAACGAACAAGCAGTGGATTAAACAGTTAAACTACGATCTGGCAAGAAGTATATTAAACTTATTAAAGACTAAAATAATAGAATTAGAACTAGTAAAGGTAAAAGGATATAGTAACAACAAATGGAATAATAGAGCAGATTTCTTAGCTAAAGTTAGAGTCAATATAGATAGTAAAAGTGGTATAGAAAAAATTATAGAAAAGGTTCCCATTAGAACAAATGTCTCACTTTGCTAAGAAGAAATACCAATAGAGAAACTAACAAAAGAAGTCATAAAAGACTTATTAGATCTAAAAACAGGTGCTGAGTGAAGATCATCATCAGCAATACTAAAAATTGAACCTGATGAGACCAACAAGAAATACAATTGAAGTTTTATGTTGAAAAGGTTTAAAAGTCACAATGGTATAAGATGCTTATCAACTAGGAAAAGCAGAAGGCTTAGCTGCTTGATCAAATGTCTAAATAGCAAGTTATCTGTCATGAGAGTTCTAGCATAAAGATGACCTGACCTGTACAAAGAAGCAACATGTAAACTCTGCAAGGTAAATAAAGAAGAGGACTAAGATCATCTGGCAGAATATGAACCTTTCAAAAAAAGTTGAATATGAGCAAAAAAACTGGTCAGTAATATAAGTTAGAATTCATTATCAAAAAAAGTCCAAAAGTGAACCAACAAGAATTATTTAAACAATTTACTACTAGGCCAATAAAAAGAAGACTGGATTTATGCTTGACAAAAGGCAATACTAGGGTTGGTCCTAAAAGAAACTATGGGACAAGTACAGAATATACTCCAATCAATAAGAGAAACAAAAACTTTTATTAAAACCTATATCAATGCATTGTGGAATTGTTTTTATAAGAACATATTGTAAATTAATAAATGAGTGAAAAAAAAGTCAAGGTATCTCAGCAAGTACTAAGAAAAAACTTCCAAAAGAAGTAGAGAACTCAACCATAAAGAAACAGCCAACTCAAGACCAAAGCAAAGTGAAATATAGCTCTACTTCTTTTGCTTGACTTTCTTCTATTCTTGTTTCATATACTTTAGCTTCATCCTTCTTATTGATCATTTCTTCATCTATTTTTAATGTTAAATTTTCCTTCTTCTTTATGAAGGCATTATTGATCTCTTCATTTCTAATCTGTTACACTATATTTTACATCCATCTAAAAAAAGAAGACCTTGTATAGCATTTATTGTTCTTTTGAAAAGTTTTAATATCTGTAGCATATAGCATAGCTTTGTACTATATATATGTTATTTATATATATGATCTGTACTATAGTCATTTTTTTACTTTACTGTTTAACCATATGTCTAAAAATTTTATTGTCTTGTTTCTATCTTTTTCTTCTATTCTATCACCTCCTATATGCACCTTTCTACCTTCTTTAGACTTTTTTATATTTATAACAATTAGTCTTGACTTCTTTTCATTAATTTAAATACCATTAAGCTTAAAAAATTCTTCTGTAATCTCTATTATTTGCTTCATTTGTTCTTTGCTTTCTGCTACCCACATTGTATTATTTGTGAAGGCTATTGCTGCTTGTTCCATTACATTCTTGTTGAGTAATTTAATCTGTTATTGTATAAAAGTTCTACTGATACTGTATAGCTCAACTCTGGATCTTTCTGTATTCTTTTTAATAGTAGATTATAAAAAATTCTTACAACAAGAGTGAGAGAACCTCTTTTTGTTCTATTTTATTCTGAATTTGAAACCTTTCTATAAGGCTTTACTGTGTTATAATTCTTGTTTCTCTATTTATAAACAATCCTAGTATCAACTTAATTGTTATACTTGGCAACCTAATTCTCTTCAATGCCAGCTCTAGTGCTGTTAGTAAGTCTGAATCAAATGCTTTCTTTATATCTTAAAACATAATCTACAGCTCTTTATTGTTATCTCTTGCATCTTTCATTATTATATGAATAATATGAACTGGCTCTTCAGTAGAGTTTCCTGGCAGGTTTGCAAAGTTTGGTCCTGCTAATATCCTTCTCTTGTTTAGGACTTGTGTTAACCTCTTGGTTACTATCTTGGTTAAGCATTTACAGAAGGTTTCTAGTAGTGCTATTGGTCTAACATTACTTAAATTATAACACCAGTCTGCATTTTTTAAAATTGGGTATATCTGTAATATCTTTCATTTCTCTAGTATGGTACCTGATTTAATACAAATTTCTGCAAAGGTTCTGAAGATTTTTTGCATCTTAGTGCCTGCTGTCTGAATTAAGATATATGTAATTTCTAAGATTTCTGGAGCTGTATTCTTTTTTAGCTCTGCTAGCATTTCTGTCTATTCTTTCTTAGCTATATCTTGGCTTATATTCTTATATCAATTTAGCTGCACTGTTTTATTTAATCTATAAACCTCTGCCTATTTTTCTTCATAGAGTTTATATATAAACTTTTATGTTCTAAATTGGTTCTAAAAATACATTTTTGTTTCTTTAAGAACCTCAGATAACTCTACTACTAGTTTTTTTAAGTTGTTCTCTTTACCAATTAAACTGTTAATTTGGATCTTTTAAAATGGTTTGTCTAATAGACTTGCAAGCATTCTGCTTTGTTTGTCATTAATTATAGCATATCTACAAAACCTATATGACCTTCATCTGAACATTGCTATACATAATGTTTGTGACTTCAATACAATTACCAAAAAAGAAACTTAACAGAATTACTGTTTTTATTATAACATTTACATTGCCTGCATTACTAAAACAAAAATCTCTAACAATGTTAATCTTCACTTTTGTAACAATAACACATTCAATTATTTTTAAACAAATTCTGAAAATTTAGCAGAAGGTGCTGCTATAATGGTTCATAATTATCTTCAACCTCATATATACAACTGTATGACATATCTAGAAAGTGCAATCACTCTTGACCTCTTTTTTAAAAATGAAATCAAGCTCTACATTATCACAGTCTATTTTTTCTCTACTAATATACAAAGAATTAACTCAACTCAAAATATAGTTATTTTCTAATTATTCTTGATAACTTCAATATACATGATGATATTTTTAACTCATCATCTAAATTTTATCTTATTAATTACCTACACCACTTTAATATGTATAACCTTAATGTATATACTAACAACAAACATCATACTTGGTCAAATAATACTAGCCAAAGTCACATTAACTACATTTGAACTGATTCATTTAACTTACAGTTCTTTCTCGCATACAGCCTTGATAATAACAGTAACTCAACACTTAGTGATTACTCTGTTCTTTTGTCATTCTGGTCTTTTATCAATATATATAGCAAACCTCTTGATACTATAATAGTATTAGTTACAGAATCTTCAACTACAAGGATATAATAGCAGAAAGTTGGACAAAATTCTTTAATTAACTTTTTTATAACCTTAACTTATATAAAACTTTACTAAATATTAACTCAAATAAAAGTATTGATACTATCTGGCACAAAATTCAATATTTAATTATTAATACTGCAACACATCATATTTCTAAAAAGAATACTCACAAACATAGCTACAATTACTGATACTCTTCATAAAGCACTCCACTTTACCTTTCTCTCAAAGAATGTGAACATCTTATAAAAATTATTAAAAGTGCAAACAATGCTCTTAACATTAATCTAACTAACCTCAGAATTGATGAAATTAATAATAGATCTAATTGCAACCTGCATAATCTTATCTTATATCACTAATTTCAACTTCATCTTTAGGTTCAACATGCAAAAGAAATCTGAAAACAACTTTAACAGGCTTACCATCTAGAAAACTCACTAATGCTTCAACAACAAATTTAGCAGACTACTAAAAAAAGATGTAAAACACACTCTACATATTCCAAACAGGCTATTAACAGTATTCTTAATCATTACAAACCTTTTATTTACTTCATTAATATAAAACTTTCTGATCAGCTCATTACAGACCTACACTCTATTAAACAATTTATACCATTCTATTTTCTTAACTGAACAGCTTATTATTCAATTGATTACAAACTTTTAATAGATTTTGGTCAACACAATATCAGCCTTAGCCACATATTAATACCCAATAGTATACTTCTCTTATCTCTTCTATCATAGAAGAAGAAGTACTCAAACTATTACAAACTATACATATTGATGAAATTATTTTAGGTTTCAGGGTACGAAATTAAAATTTAAAGACGAAATTGTTTTTGACCTACTTTATTTAAAAGATGAAATTTTTTGACATTTTTTTTGAAGAGACAAAATTATAAGGAACATAACTACCTAAATTAGATTTACTATTGCATATAAAAAATTTCAAATTGCTCTAATAGAGACAAAATAGGAGTTTTTTGAAAACCTATTTCGGTGGTATGTATATTACAGACCTTCCTAATAGTAAAGTCTGTAGTCCTACAGATATTAGTTATGAAATACTTAAACATGCTAGTACTATCTGCATTCAAGAAATAACTACTTTGTTCAATCACTGCCTTACTCAAATCAAATCTCTAAACTATAGAAAAATAGTAGAATCTATCTTATCTCAAAAAAAACATATTTGATAATAACCTTAATCTAACTCATCCTATAAGTCTTATTGAACATACTTATAAAGTTTATACAAAAATCATTACTAATAGGCTTAGTAGTATATTTTTATAATACTCCATTCTTTTACTATACAACTATATTACTCTATTTAATAATAGCTCCTCTATACCTATTCATATACTCAACAATCTTATAGAAGATGCAACCTGCAATCAGATCAAGATTTGGTTACTATCTTAAGATATGAGTAAGGCATATGATTTTGTAAACCTTATTCTTCTTCAATACTCACTTCAGTAACTTGCTCTTTCTACTTCTATTACTAATACTATCATTAACCTACTAACTAACCAGACTAACCAAGTTATTACAAACCTTATACTCACTCTATCATACTCTATACACAATGGTATTGATTAGAGTAAAACTATTACTCCTCTTCTTTGGAGAATTTATTATGATCTACTTATCTCACATATATATAATAACTTTTATAGATATACTATGCAAGTCTTTTGGCTAATTAACCTTAAACATAATACATTTAATAAACTTAACACATATTGCTTAGTTCTTGACTATATGGATGATACTCTTTGGATTGCATCCTTCTAATATGAGCTTACTCAGATCTTTTCTATAGCAGAATCCTTCTATAACATAGTAAATATCCAAATCAATACCTCTAAATCTGTATTTATAACTAATGATTCTGCATCTAGTTATATTCCTATTACTTATAACAATTATCTGCTCAAACTTTAATCTGCAAGTGAACCATTCAAGTTTCTTGGATACTGGTTCATACTCAACAACAAATACACAAAACAATGTAAGCTTATTATAGCTGAGTTATCTTATCTTATCAAAATTGCAAAGACCAAACAAATTACAAACACACATGCACATTATATTATCAATACATTCATCATTCTTACAATTGAATATCAACTTCACAATACTATTCTTAGACAGAAAATATGTAACAAAATCCTTACAAGATACATTGAACTAGTTAAAAACAAAGTCAAACTCAGCTACACAGTTCCAACTAGCATGCTGCTTTATTCACAAATATATGGGATTCACAATATATTATATATCTAACTACAACACCATATTACAAACTTTACTAAACAGCTTAACTCACCAGACCTTCTTGATACTAGATCTTATATTCGACTTCAACAGCTTCAAAACAATCTCTGGCTACTCATTATTATTCTAATACACAACAATCTTATTATTGATGGACCTAATAAACACTTAACTAGTTTTAAGATTATACAACTTTTTAAACATCTTGATATAACTCTTTTCTCTAATCTAGTATTTAACATTCTATATACTATTCAGAAAGACTCTGTTTCTTTTGAATCTCTGCTTTCCTTATATCCTAAATACCTAACCTTCAAAAAACAACACAGATATTATTATATTTTCTACCTTGATCAACTAACTACATTTGACAATTTATGTCTATTAGACTGGAAACACATTTTATCTCATATACACAAAATTTCTAAAGGCAAACAACTACTTTGGTTTAGCTTACTAGAAGATCAAGTACAAGTTACTTATATGAATGTACACTTTACTCACACTTACACTTACCTGATACTAACTATTATAGTTACACAACTGAATACTTTTTCTCTCAGAAAAAACCTTGGCTTATTACAGCAACTGATGATTACATCATTATTAGAAAAGCCAGAAGACAATCTACCTCATCTGAAACAATACTTATTATTTACTGGCAGTGTTATATTCAAACTCAATTTACTCATCTTTATCCTCTCATACCTCTATATGCACAGAAATGCTTTGAGTGTTCTCTTAATTTACACACTATTGCCAACACTTGTATTATCCTTATATCTATTAATCTTTTTACTAAGTTTTTTAGTCATGTTAATACAAATAACAAAACTCTTAATTTTAATGCCAACTACCTTGATCTTATCTATTCTATTGCTACTCAGTACTCTCTTCAAATTCTAAATACATCTAATATTAATATTACAATAACCTTGATTCTAACTATTTTTGAACTATGTTCTCTAACAAATAATCTTCAACAAATTACTAACTATAATGCTAATTTATCTGAACTTTATTTCTATACTAATGGTTCTGTTATTAATTTAGGTACCATTCAATACTCAATAGACATTAGATGGGTTCAAACACTTAACAACTCTATATTACATATATTTTAGACTCAAACTTAACTCTGGCTATGTTCATTTAATCAGAGCTTACTACTATTCTGTTAGCAACAATTACAGCTCCTAGAAACTGTATTGTAAATATATATACTAATTCTCAATCAGTAATCTCAAAATACCAAGTTATCTGACTTTTTCAACACTCTTTCATATACACATATAGCATACTTTTTATTATGGAACACTTTTATTAATTTTATTAACTCTTATAAAATCCAAATTATCTTTCACAAAGTTACTGCTCATCAGAATAATAAATATAACAATCTTGCAAATCAACTAGTATGTAGTCATCATAATCTACCTTATTTTATCTTTAGACCTTACAATACCTACAATTCAGCTTATACTCTTACTTTAGGATATTTTCTTTTAGAGCTGCCAATTCAGCATAATATTCATACAATTTGCTATGCACATATCTATGCATTATGGAGTACATAAAATCAGTTTTAAAAATAGAAGAAAATTTTTAATCAAATTAACTGGCAAGCTACTTGGCTCTATATTAACAACAACCAAAAAATTACAAACTTTTTACATAGCTTTCAATCTTCAGCTCTCAAATCATTTAGAATCAAAATTTTACTAAATGAACAGTCTACTCTACATATCTTATATAAACAATATTACTCATATCCACCTATCTGCCATTATTGCCAATTGATTAGTTTACATCATTATTGAATAATCTGCCCATCTGACCAGTTATGATATAATCTTATTAACAACTCACTCCAATATATTTTCAGTACTTTTATACTTAATGCTACTACAGATAATATAAACAACTTACATTAACAAATTGTACAACTAAAATACATAACTGCTCACAATATGTTAAATATATCTTCAATTTTTTTAACCCTGTCAGGTCTCATAGCTGATGAATTCATCTCTACTGTTGCAGACCTCTCATCCAAAAAAATGGCTACAACACTTATCATCAAATTTATATTGCATCTAAACTAGCAAATTTATTACAAAATCTGGATTCCATATTGTATCTCAAAATCAACATTTAATACTTTCTATCACAATTCATTTTCTGATCCTATCCCATATCTAACCCAACCTCTTTTACTTAATACTATCAGTTCTAAAATTAATTTTTGGTATATACACTGAATTAAATATCAACTAACCTTTTACATATTATTACTAACACTCAAATCTAGATGAGCTTTGGCCACTCCAGTTGGTTTAGGTCACAGATAATTAGGCTGAGTCTCTATTCTTTCTATAATATTTTAAAAGCAGAGTTCTACTTCATATAAAAGTTTTAGTTAAATATTTAATAAAGTTAGAGACATGACCTCACCATTAATATTAAAAAAAAAAAATTTATAATATACATATTGGATTAAATATCAAGCTAATCTCTTATATATTATTACTAACACCCAAATTTAAATAAGCCATGGCCACTCTAATTGGTTTAGACTACAGATAAATTTGTCTAAATCGTTATACTTTTTCATAATATTTTAAAAAGTAGATTTTTATTTAATATAAAAATTTTAATTAAATATTTAATAAAGTTAGAAACATAGTTTTACTATTAATTTAAAAAAATAATAATTTATTATCAGATACTTCTAATTCTTCTATTTTGAATAAAGAATATTATAAAATAAAGCAAATTCAAAATCATTATTTAAACTAAAAAAATAAATTTCTTTAAATAGATTATAGATAAAATAGTTGTTAAGAAAATAAGTTAAAAAATAAGGTATTCTTAGTTTCAGTTTGATTCATTTGTTATGTTGCTAAAAATAGAATTAGTGCTTTATTTAACATCAAATTTTTTGGCTTAAATTTAATTATTAGAATAAATCATCAATAATAATAAATTAAAATCTATAAATTAGATATAAGAATCAAATTAAAATTAGATCTTTCTATAGTTACACCTTATATAAACACCAATGATATTCTTATAAAAACATACCTTTGGATTGAGAACATTTGTTACTTTAAATATGTTTTTTTATAAAAAAAATATTTGAAAACTTATTACTTGATAAATATGTTCTCTATATAAGCATAATACTGATAATTTGAAATTGAGTAAAGCTCTGAAAAATTTTGGAAAGAAATAAACGAACTTAAGAGAGCAAGTTTGAGACAAAAATTTGAATAAATTACTATTTTCCAAAAAAATTTTAAAAAATGACAACAGAAATTTTTGTTATTGAGAACATATAATTATTTTTGAGAACAATAAATTAAATAATTTTTTTCTCATGAGAACATAATTTAAAAACAGATTTTCAGCACAAATAATCATACATCTATATAACACCTAAAACAAAATCTATAAATATATAAAAACCTCTATATTAGCACATTTTTAAAAAGGTATTATCATCCCAACTGTGTGAGGTTGACTGTAGATAGATAACTAAAATGAAATTAATAGGAATATATCTTTAAAAGAAAAAAAAATGTTTCTACATAATATTCAAATATTTTCAGACTGTGTAAGATTCGCGTAATACTTATTGATTTAACGACGGGTTTATTACTTCACCTATCATTAATGTCGGCTTAACACTTAGAAAAATCTCCGGCGAAGGAATAACTATTTAGAAGTGATTTTCGTAAACAATATTAAGCAAATAATTGTCGATAAACAAAAAATACGATTGGAAAAATGGTCGTCCGAAAAATTATGCTGCCGGGATATAATCGAAATGAGTGTCAGGAAAATGAGTGCCATTGAGAAAAACTTATATAAAATATTGTAACATTAGAATACCAGTATTAATACCTATTTTTTAATTGCATTTATTATTTCTTTTGTACTAATCATTTTGCTAGTATACATAGAATCTGGATGATTTTCAGTAATAAAGGATCTCGACATTTTATCAGAATCTAGAAATTGTATTTTTATATTATCTGTGTTATTAGAATCCGTAACAATCCTATGCCATTCTTTAATAATTGAATAAATATTTTTAGCAGTAGGTCGATTCTGTGAATTTGAATCCATACATTGATTGGCCAACTTAATATAACATTTAGGAGTTTCCGAAGTAAATTTTGGTCTTAATCCATTAATAATATCTAATGCAAGTTCATTATCAAATTCATAATCTTCAAAAGGTCTTTGTCCGGTTGATACTTCTGTCATAACAATGCCAAAACCATAAACATCAGCTGCTTCTGTTATATTGCAGCCCAATAGAACTTCTGGCGCAATATAGGGCATGACTCCATAAATTATATTTTCAGAATTATGCTCATTTTTATTTTTGGACAGTCCTAGATCTGAGATATACGATTTTATATTTTCATTGGTGCGTTGGTCATTCAAAATGTTGCCACTATGAAAGTCTGCATGAATATACCCTGCACCATGAATCCGAACTAAATCGTATGATATGTCTTCGAGTAACTGTAATTTAATCTTCCAATTAAGTTTTTCAAAATTTGATTTTAAAAATTTATGAAGATTTCCATGATTAGCATATTGAAATACCATCAAGTATTCATTAGTTTCTGTATCCTGAGTTAATCCATACAGTTCAAGTCTACTGCCTTTTAATCTACATTTCGCGTGATGTTTAAACTTATAGGTTCATATAGGTATTAAATTAGTCAATTAAATATAAATTTATTATATAATAATTTTAGGCAAAAATAAAATAGAGACCCGTCTCCATGGCGACCCTATATATAGCAGCCAATCATATTTAGGGATAGTAAAATTTCTTTTGTATTTTTTTATTAGAAAAGTTAGGTTTTTAAAAAATTTTAATTGGTCAATAAATAAGAAATATATTATATAGTCACATACTCAATTTTGATTGGCTATTCATATAGGGTCGCCATGGCGACCCGTCTCCATAAAATAATGCCCATAATTTTAACTTACTTCTTTCAAAAAATCAAAAGGGTCCGATTTAGAACCAAGCAAAGTTTTGAGTGCAACTTTGCACGATCGCTCCCGTGACCTACTAATACCGTTGATCTTTCGCACACCATCCAGCCAGTTTGCTAAAAATATGGTTCCAAATCCTCCTCGACCAATAACTTGTATTCCTTCCAGTTTATTAAATGGAATCCATTCAATTACTTTTAAGTATGTAGTGGCCCTAAGTTGAAGTTCTTTGATACAATCGTCAATATTCTTGTTTTTACTTGTCCATCTTTGAGCAGTTAGGTCGGGATCACACGTTTGACACCATGACGGAGAATTGTTAAATTGGTTACAATGTGTACATTTTCCATGACCAGAGTCTCTTCATAATTGTTAAAGATAAATAATATTACTAGGTGAATTATTCTATATATTTATATGATTATTTAATTTAATTTATATAATTTTATATTCACCTTCTAATATGTACCGATTAATAAATTTGAAAATTTGTTAATTGCTATTTTTATAGGTTTTACTAATTGTGGCAGCTTATGCTGAAATGGGAATTTTGACCTCTTTTACTATGAAGTTATAAAAAATTTAGGGCCTTCTTTGTGGTTTTTTTTTATGGTAAGGTTAGGATTAGGGATAGTTTTATTAATAAAAAATATATGTGGATTTTAGTAGATATATATTATAAAAATAGAACCCCAAGTTTAAGCATACGCTGCCACACTCATTTACATAATTCTCTTATAGATCAGAGCATTGTAAATATGGTTATAAATACTCAGATAAGAGAATTAGTATTAGTTATTGTAGTAAATTAGTAAAACCACTTCCAATAGATTATGTACTAAAAAATGATCTACGTACAGACTAATCGAATTTAAAAATTATAAGTTCGAGTCGCAAGTTTAATTATAAATAATATTTTACAAATATACTTACAAACTAATTAATATAAATAAGGTTTTTAAATTACGCTGAAGTTTATGAAATTGAAATTACTGATTTTAAATTAAGCAATGATCTTATACTTCAATACTTACAGGCTAGATTGAATGATTTTTAAACATGTTATTTTTAATAGCATCGTTTGAATATGTCGTGACTGAAGTTGACAGTCGATTAAGGATGGCTCCAAAAGCGGGCACTTTCGGTACCTACCGAAATCGAAAGTCTATCGAAAGTACTTTCGAACAGGATTTGGTTTTCCGAAATGTTCGAAAGTCGGAAGTCTTACCGAACGTCGAAAGTCCTACCGAAAGTCGAAGCCCTTACCGAAACTCGAAAGTCTTACGAAAGTCAAATCCTATTTTTCGAATACATCATGTGACGCAGACTTTGAAAAAGGCCAATCAGATCCGGGAAAACTACAGGCACAACGTTTCACAACTTATAGGCACAACATAACGCCCCTTACTCTCCCACAAAAAATTGTTCACCCTCCTGTAATTTTGTCCAATCGAATTTTAAGGTCAGGTGTAATGTTAAAAGTGAAACGGAGCCACTTTTTTTATAAAAAACAGGAATAGCTCTAAATTTTTACTAGGAAAGCATCTTTAGCGGCCTAATTAAAAAGGTTTCACGTGAAATTCTACTAATAGCCATCATATTTTTCTACGGTTTTCTTAGATTTAATTTTCACGCAATTTTTTACTTAGAAAACAAAAGTTTCGTTACACCTGATCTTAAATTTTGATTGGCCAAATTACAGGGGGCGAACAATTTTTTGTGGGAACGCTACCCGAGATGTCATTGTACCGCAACAGGAGCGACCATTTAAATTCATAGATTCCGATATAGTTACACGATCAATGATTATTTTATACGTTTTACAATATTTCTTTTAAAAGCTTGGGTAGCTTAACTTTCTATGAACAAGAGTAAATTTAACGAATGAATTAATACTCTCGCTTCGCCTTATAACATATTCTTTGAGCTCCACGATTTTTTTTTGCAATCTGATTGGCCGATTTACTAAAATTCGAGATTCGATCCATAGGAAGTCTTTCGTATGGTTGGCAGTTTAAATCAATTTAATTTTACATTATTTATACAGTTTAAAGTACTTTTTTAAAAAAATAAAACTACGAAAATAACCAAAAAAGAAGCATATGAAAAGTTTTATTAGGGTTGTAGGACTCAATCATTAAAAATAATCAAAATCATTTCTGGTTTTAGAGAAGCGACATCTTAAAAGATAGATAGAATTAGGTTACCATACTAACTTCTCTAAAACAAAAAGGGATTTTGATTATTTTTAATAGTGGAGTCCTACAATCCTAATAAAACTTTCTATATAATTCCTTTTTGTAGTTTTATTTTTTTTAAAAGTTCTTTAAACTGTAAATCATATGAAAGTCTTCCTATGGAGATTCGATTGGTTGGTAATCATGTGTAACTATATCGGAATCATCTACTAATTTGAACGGTCGCGCATGTTTTGTACCGCCAATTTCCGGTAATTCCAAGACTAATTTCAGTCAAGTTCAATTCGGTCAACTGAATTTGTAACTTCAGTCGGGTGTCAATTTCAGTCACATCTAAAATAATATAAACTTACTAACTAAATAATATAATCGAAATAATTTGAGTTGTTACTAATGATAAATTCTTAAGAACCAACACCAATTTAAGTAAATTAAATGATTTTGTACTTGCTAAGTTAAATAAAAATAATTAATATTAAATTCTTGTGATTTAATAATTTAAATCTATTAATCATTGTTTTATACTTACTAGCTTAATTCATAAAGTTTTTTGAGTTGTATTAAATATCACAAGCTTAAATTGTTAATTTGAACATAAAGAAGATCTTATATATTACACGTACTAACTAAATTAGAGATAATTATTAATAGTAAATCAATGAAGTGAAATAACTAATTCTAGATAATTTAATACTTACTCACTAAAAATAACATAATTGGAAAAATATTAATTATTGATAATTTTTAATGAAAGTACAGTTTTTTTATTATACTTACTCACTAAATAAATAATGTGAAAATTACTATTCAGTCAAATTTATATTTTTAGTTTTAAACAAATATAACTTACTCGCTGAATTAATACAAATATACAAATAAGATAATTGGATAGATATTTAATCATTGTCAGCTTATTTTATTTTGTTTAAACAAATAATATTTACTTACTCACTATGTTAATATTAATGTAGATATTAATAATAATTTTATAAATTAGAATTAAAATATATAATAATTATGTACAACTTACTCACTAAAGTAAAATTGGCAGAATCATATATGTTTAATCATTTTAAGCATACATTGTTAGATAAAATAATGAACAAGAATGATTTATTATACTTACAAACTAAATAGTATCAAGAAAATGAAATAATCTGAGATACGTATTAAAAATTAATAAATCTAAACGTTGACTTTAAATAGCCATATTTACCGACTAAATTAATTTGAAGAATTTTTTATGAGTTATTTATATAAATAGATTAATCATTATATTATACTCACATTCTAAATACGTATAACAAAATGTTTTTAATAGTGACGTTTTAAATTGGCACCTCAATATACTAATTAAACTATTATTCTCACCGACTAAATATCGTAAAAAAAATAGCACATATTTTATAAATCCGAATTGTTAATTTAACGCAGTCAATTCCCTTTAAACTGGCCTGAATAAACTAAATTCTTAATAAACTCATATGAGCGAAAATCTCCAATTTCGTGATGATTTAATGTGAATGATTATTTTAAATTAAATTTGAGCGAATCATTTATGTGATATGGCATTATTATTGAGGATAAAAGTGATTTTTTGATCAGATATTGTAAGCCCGATAATGAATTGCTTATAAATCGCTTATGAATTTTACTTATAAATTTGTACCTGAGTGTAACCTGATGCTCACAAATTTTCGGGCATATGTACTGTACCTAATTGTGACCTAATTACTTATAAATTCTTGGTACGTATGTACCTGATTGTAAATTAATCACCTAATTTTTAATAATAACTGTGTTTCAACTGAAGATTTTCGCCCATATGTATAAACTGAACGTTAAGCTTGTAAATTTTATTAATCATTTCGATTTAAAGATATAATAAGTTGTTTAAACTGAACTTTTAAATTCTTACATATGAGACCCACCGTAACAAAACTGCAAAAATTTTTTTTTCATTCTTAATATTATCGCGCTTTTCAAATTACTGTGTCCACTGATTTCCATACATTACACCGGAAATCAAAAATCTAGAATAAATACAAATCCGTGATTGGTTAAAAATAATTTTTAGCCAATCACGTATTGGCATTTTTTCAAGATTTCTGATTCCCAGTGTGATGTATGAAAATCAGCGGACACAGTAATTTGAAAAGCTCTTTAAAACCAATGAAGTAATAATTGATTAAATAATTTCTCACAATCACATGATTGCTTCATTGCGCTGGGGGTCCATATGGGAAATAGACTAGGAAAACCACCATTTGAAGCGAGTTTTGCTTAGAAATAGTTGACTTATAATTAAGTAAATTATCTTTATACTTACTCACTATATTACGTAGCATAATGAACTCTAAGTATTGATTTATAAATTTTTATGAATTTTTGTTTTTAAATGTTTTATACTTACGAACTAAATTAACATGAATAAATTATCGTTCAAATATTTAGGAACTTGAATTTTTGTAAAATTAATAAAATTTACTCACACACTAAATTAACATAAATGAGAGTTTTTAGATTTATTGTAATATAAATTCTTACGTTATTATAAGTGGATTATAAATGATCTCCATACTTACTAACTTGATATAAATAAAGTTATAAATCTTTAGTTCCTGTTTAATATAAATATTTCTTTTACGCTATTACACTTACTAACTATATCGATGTCAAATGAAATCATTTAAATATTGTTTCATTGCGAAGCTGAGTTTTTGGTATCAATAATATTAAAAATCATCCTTATACTCACTTTCTAATTAGCACGAATAACGAAATGATTTTAGAAACTTATTTAGTAAATTAGATTTAATGGGAGTTTCAAATTAACGAATAAGTGACGCACTTCGAAAATAAATATGATTTTCCAATAGTATTTTTATGATTTTGAATTAAAATCGGAAAAAAATAAGGTTCTATAATTTTGAAACCCCTATTGTAAATAATTTACCTACTCACTCTCTGGTAATTTAAATAATTCAATGCTCATTAGCGATTCATAATATAATGTCAGGTAATAAAAATAAAAACTAACTTTTTAACGAAATCTATGCCTTTATCCTTATCTTTTTTCACGCCAATTCCATATAAATAGCAAATGCCGGTTTTATAGATTCCCATATAATTGCCTTTTTCTGCCGATTTCTTATAATAAATGAACGCCTTATGTTTATTCATTTTGACTCCAATTCCTGAATAATAACAATGACCAATTTGAAGCATTCCGTTAGAATCTCCCATATTAGCAGATATTTTATAATAAATAAATGCCATATGTCCATTTTTTTCAACGCCTATTCCATTTTGATAACAATAACCAAGATGATTGATTCCATCAATGTGTCCCATTTTTGCAGATTTTTGAAAACAAATGAAGGCTTTATTTTCATCCTTTTCACCTTCAATACCATTTAAATAATTATATCCACAATTATACTCCTCCATTTTTGATCTAAGTGCTAGATAAAGGGACAAAAATAAGTTTAAGCTTTAAAAGGTTATGCAGTAAAATTTTATTAATACAATAACATTTACACTTAAACAATTTTTCTGGATTAATTTTGGATTAGTTAAGTTCAAAAAAATTTTGTTTAAAAAAGTGTACTTAGCACCTACATTAATTTTACTAAATCTTATATTTTAAATACGTAGAATTAGCTACTGCGCATAATATGTTTCTCGTAAGACACCACATTGCCTATTTTATCCAAAAAGAAAATTATCTTTAATTAATGTTACGTGCGTAACATTCGTTGCGATACATACGTAATGCACATAACAGTAACACGGTTTATTTTTGTATTGTTTTCATATCGACGTTTGTACGGGATATAAAAATAGAAAATTTTTGATT